CCATGCCGCCGACGGGAGGGGGGACCCGACGGGACGGGCGGCGGCGGCGGCTCCGCCTCCAGCCTCCGCCGGGGCAGCCCCGGGACCGCGGCGGGGAGGGGGTTCCTCACCCGGCGGATCGGTGGGATGGGAGGAGGTGGGAAGAGTTTGAGGGGCGCACACCCGCCGGCAGTGAATGGCTGCCTGGGCCGGGGGACAGCCCTGAGAGGGGCGGGGGGGGCTTGCGGATCCCGAGAAAAGATTCCTTCTGTTTCTAGTTCTTTCCCCTCCTCCTGGAGTTTCTCTGCTTGCTGTTTTATATGTTTATGCGGAAAATCAGCACACATAGGCTTCGTCTTTCTGGCTTAAACTGACATTTTTAGCCTAAGGAAGGAGAGAATACAGGAACAAGGAGAGAATAAATAGGAAATTTGCGAATGACGTGGTTTCCCCATGCTATAAATACAGCACGGGAAAACATTCTGGGCTGGCAGAAGAACAAGCAGTTTGATGTTTGCGTTTCTATATAGAATTTAAAAAGTTAGAAACTCGCTACAATTTAGATACATAGATTACATCCCTCACGGTAGTGCTGGCAAGTGAGGACTTGAAGGATTTAAAGCCTGGATGTTTGATGCTGCAGCACCCAGCCTTCCTGACTCCCTGTTGGGTATCTCTGATCCTTGTACAGTGCTCCTTTAGTGACAGCTGAACAGTTTGGAGAAGTAAATAGGAGATGGAAATGGGTTTGATCTTTGTTTTAAAGGTTGTTTATAAACTCTTCCTGTACAAAATCTATACGCCCACCTCAGAGCACACCTGTTCCATGTTGCCTTTGTCCAAAGGCAGTTCTGTACATTGGTGCAAGCAGAGCTGAAGTAGCTGACCCAAAGGAACATCTCCATAGCTCCCTTCTGGATGACAAAAGCAGCACAGGAAGAGAAGAACAGGGGAGTGAGGCCATGTCACCACAGTATGGGGATGACAAACGATGGGCCATGTCCCTGTGTGAGGAACTGGGCCAAGCCTGCAGAGTTGAGTGGCCATCTGGGAGCTGACTGCCACAGGCTGCTATCTGGTGCAGCAAGCTGGGCACTCATGTGTTGGGGTGAAGGGTTACAAGGTCCTCACTGTGGTTCTCCTTAAGCAGTGAAGTTTGCCTGCGCTGCCAAAGCTGGGCTTCAGAACGGGCTTCCCATCTCGGCTGTCCGTTATGTCCATTTGCTGACTCCACACGCCACAAGACACACATGAAACGTTAAGGAAAGGCACCTTTAGGAAGACCTTGGACAAAACAGCTCCTGAACGCTCCCATTAAGGTGTGAGAAAAAGCTCTGGCGTTTGCCTGGTTGCTCTGCCTGCAAATACCCCCAGCACGGTTTGCAGCAGAGACCCGTGCTGCTGGGAAATACGCAAGAGTATAATTTGTCAGTTTGGTTCAATCACATTGTAGATTTACCTTTTATTCTGAAATAATCATTTATTAGTGTCTCCCCAGGGGAGGGTTGCAAGTGCTGAATCCCAGCCAACATCTGTCTCAAGTGTTGCTGATTTGGGGGTGAGCTAGAGCCTGCCTTTGAATGACAGACATCTGAAAAATGAGTAACAAGAGCTAAAATATTTTCTTTCTGAAAGGAGAAGCTGTATATTAGGATTGTTGTTGTCAAAGGGCATCAAACCTTGGTTACTAACTTGCTAGATGTGGGTCTCAGGCACAGGGAAGTGACCTACTGGGCAAGGGTTCCACGAGAGCGCTGCGTCTCAATGCAAAGAAATGTCGTGCGTGCTTTTTCTCGATGATGAAACATTAACTTCCACGCTGGGGAAGAAAAATAGCTGTGTAGGTTATTTGTGGATGGATGGCTCGTGAGTCAGCTCTTACGTGGTTTTGGCTATTATCTTCGCGGGGCGCCCCGTTGCTGGCGGCGCAGCACGGGTGGGACTTCGCAGGAGCCCTGCGGGAGTTCTGCCTGGTTGCCAAGCGAGCCTGCTGCTTTGGTGTTCTGCTAGCAGCCTTGAGCAGCAAAAAAAATAAAAATAATAAAAAACAAACCAAAACAAAACCAAGAGAGCTAGCAAAATTGTTTAGAATTGCTCTTCCAGTGTGGTTCAGTCTCGTAAGAGAGCTAGCAAAATTGTTTTGAATTGCTCTTCCAGTGTGGTTCAGTCTCGTGTAGGAGTTTGTGTTGTGAAGTGTGTGGTGTAGAAAGGGCTCTTCCTTCCCTCTCACTCCACGGCACACTCTATTGTTTGCAGTGGAGTGAAAAGTTCTTGTAAAGCTTATAAAAAAACCCGCTTTATGTGTGTGACGAGCGCTGCACTGCACAGCTTGAGGCAGACACTGCTAAGCGAGCTCTGGAAGCTGGAACAAGACTCCTTGCCTTGTTACAAGCCGCGTACCCTCGGCTGCGTTTCAGAGCTCCGTCCCGCACGGCCTGGAGGCGGGAAGCGAGGGCGGACACCGCCGGGGCGGCTGCCGGCGGCGCCGAGGGTCTCCTCGCTGCCCGCCGCTGAGGTGAGGCCCGGCACGCGCAGCGGGGAGCCGCCCGGCCCCCTCCCCGCAGCCCGGCACCAACGGTCTCCCGGCGGCCGTTACAGCGGCTCGCGCCGGACTACGCCTCCCAGCAGCCCCCGCGCCGCTGTGGCGAAGCCGCGGCTGTGGCGACGGGGCGGGAAGGAGCCGGCGGGCGGGCGGGGGGTCCCGGCGCCTGCGTGGCCCTGCCCGGGCAGGGCGGCTCGGCTCGGCACGGCTCGGTTCGGCCGCGGTATCGCCGTCCCGTGCGGCGCGGCTGGGCTGCCTCCCGGTCCCCGCTCCCCGATGCCATGCTAAGACCAGAGGTCTCCGCGTCCTACCAGGAGGTAAGGGGGGGGGCCGCGGCAGGGCTAGCGGGCGGCCGGGGGGGAGGTCGGGGCAGCCCCTCGGGCGGCGATGCCCCGGGCCGGGGCTTGGCGCTTGCCAAGCGGTTAGGCTCCGCGCTGCCGCCGTGAGCTCGGTTCGGCTCCGGTCTCCGGCTCGGCGGGGGCGGC